GGCCGCCCCCGCCTCTCCGGCGGCGAGCGCTTTCGGTCTTACGTTGCTCTGTTAGCAACTTCTCCTTTTCCACGCGGGGGTACGTGGCGGAGCTAGAGCGAAGGGCGTCTGCCCCCAGCAGTGCCTCGGATCGTCTGCGTGGGGATGAGGCTGCGTAGCGTAGGTCGTAGCCTCTGCAGCCCTCCATCCTGACACTTGAAAAATAAAAAGCAAAGATGCTGGTGTGAAATTTATCATCAGGTGTTTTCTTACGCATATGAAAACATGGTGCACTTCCGGTGAAAAGAATTGAGCTGTTGAGGGAAAGATGGTGTTTTGCGCTACAGTTTTGCCTTTTAGTCCTTCGAAAGAGACTCCTGCTTTTGTGTCAGCCAAAAGGCAGGCTCTGGTTTACCTCAGTACTCTAGCCCAAACAGTTTTTCTTAATAAAAATAAGACAAAACTGGATGTGCTCAGGTGCAATATAGTTCGGGCAAAGTGTAGCGCTAAGAATGACCTTTGTTTCCCTGATTAACTCTTTTTACGTACAGTCCCTATTATGAAGTTCTCTTGTGATGTTTGTGGGAAGGAGTTGTTAGTGAAATGCAGTGGTTCACGAGCTCTTGACTTAACGGGCCTTGAACCCGCTTCTAATGGAAGCACAGAATCCTTCAGAGCTTTCCTTAAAGGTGTTACACAGAGAAGCCTTTTGTGGATATTGTAATGTAGCAGGTAGGAATCTGCTGCTTTTGGCCATCCTGTGCAGACTACTTACTAATCCACGGACTGCTATACCAGTGGCTTCTGAGCTATAGTGTGATGATGACCTTTATCTTTTGCTGTAGTTGTATCCCTTTCTGTGGACAAAGTTTGCAAAATGTACTGTGTCCATCAGAGAACTCTTTCATCGTGCTAATTTGATATACAACAGGCTGTTGTTGCCTTTTCGTCTCTCTAGTTATCCCTGCGCTATTCAGGCCTAATGCCCCCACTGTATGTGCAGATGCAGTGATTGCATTGAAACTGTTCCTGTAAGCCTCTGGCCACGTGAACGTGACACTTGTTCGCTAACTCTCATTAGAGAACTTACTTTGTCCACAGTTGAAAACGTGAACCCGAAAGAGGTGAAGCTAGGAGGAAGTAGTATCTCCAAATTTCAGCTAGATTCTTGGACTTTACAAGTCATTTTATAGACATAGTTCTTATTTAATTTTTTCTTCTAACGACTGAGGCTGGTAGCATCAGTTATCTGAGTACCAGTTAGAGTAGGTGTATAGGAAGGGAACAGTGTGACACTGAGTATACAGTAAGATGTGGGATTCAGTTGCTGTACAGTTGCAGATCTAGCTTGGGATTTAGAAGCTTGGGATTTTTGTTCCCCAGGAGTTCTTTTGGCTGGTGCCTGAGTGAACTACTATGGGAATAATGTGAGATTCTTCTCTGCAGTATCAAGAAGTTTCTCTTCCTCAACAGCCTCCCAGCTTTTAGATCTGTCAGGTCCAAAAACAGTCAATACCAGACCTGACCTTTCTGTCTGGGGGCTGGCTAGTTGTTGTTCACCTTGTCAGAGACTAGAGGAATGAGCAATAATCACTGTATCAGAAAGAGTATTTGCTTTAGGGGAATCCGGAAACTTGTGAGAAAGCAGTTAATCGCTATCCCATTCCAGTCGTCTACTGGGTGCAGTATTATCAGGAAGCGTTTTACAACAGACAAACTGATGGATGGCCCTGGGGAAGGACTTCTTGCTCTGCTGTGGTCAAGTGGATTTTCGAGGCTGAATATTCAGAAGCAAAGTGAGGTTAGGAGATGATTTTGGGAATGTGACTGTTCCTTCAGTTCATAAAATGTGTTTTTATGTAACTGGACTTAATGTACTTATGTAACAGGAACCTGGAGATAGTTAGGATGGAGTACCTGATTTTGATTTTTGTCTTAACTCAGTCACTAAAGTTGCTGCTCTGCCTTCATAAGAATTATCATCAGTATACTCTTTTCCTTGTTTGTTTTTGGGGGAGGAGGGTATGTGTGGAAAAACCTAAAGCTGCAGCTTGCTTGGAGCTGCTGTATACCTTTCACTCAAACCTGTTTTTCTTTAAAGGTGTTAAAAAAGACTTCACAAATTGAGGGAGAAGGGAGATAGTCAGAACTGGGCAATTATCTAACATCTGTTCTGTAGCAGGCTCTAATGCTCCAGGGAATCTTACAGCAAGATATAATGTAGTGCTCCTTACCTATTGAATTTCTCTAATAACTGCATGTTTTCCTTCCGTGGTCTCCACCTGCTTCCATTCCTGCCCTCCTGCAATGCCTTATTCTCTGCCCCTGCAACCCCTCCTATGGTGGGGGGGTGGGGGGGTGGATGGAGAACAGCTGAAATTTCTGAGACCGTCTGGTTGATTATGACAGCCTGAGAAATCCCCTAAATTGAAACAAGGATTCTAGAAAGCATAAGAATGACAGAACCATTGTACACCTTACTGCTGTTAGGGAATCCTTTGGATGTTGCTTTCGTTGAAACCTGTGAAGCAGACGTTCGCTTCCAATTAGTAGATTCTCAAAAGAATCTTGCTGCAATACTGTACCTTTTCTCTCTTTTCAGGGACCTCCTCTCTTCTGCCTGAGCAAATTCTGTAATGGACGTCAGGGCAATAGAAATAGTCTTATATTACCTCAAGAAAAAGGGTTTTACAATACCTGGAAAAAAAAGGGAGTTTGAAAACCCATTCTGCGTTTGGACTTATAGGTAAAGGTGCCTATTTTTATGTGCAGAGTGATCCTGTGCTGCAGTGGAGAGGCTGGCTGGTTATGATGGGCA